CGGGGCAGCCAGCTGCTGCCGGGAGGCTGGCAGGACTGGGGGCTTTTTTCTTTCCCGCCCGCCTCCCCGCAGGTGTGCTGCAGTGGGCCGGGCGGGGCGGTGATGACACCAACATGCCATCTGAGTGCCCGTGCTGAGAACCAGAGGCTGTTTCTGAGCTGCCGCCCGAAGCCCTCGGTGCCTTCGGTTTGCGCCCACCCACACTTAACGATGAGCTGAAAGGTGACTGATCGCGCGGTGCTCAGTCGGGAAGCTTCCGTGCCCAGGTCCCGGGGAAGGCAGCCACCGGAGCGAGCGCAGCGGTTTGCCGGCTGCACTGCAGGCAGCCCGCAGCTGGTCTTCCCGCTCCCGAGCGGCTTTGTTCTGCTTTAGTCGTCAGATGAGGCCGAAAGGGGTGCTGAACTGGCCTCGGTGTCAGGAAAGAGCGCCCTGGTCTCCGGTGAGGTTGGGCACTGCTTAGCCCACTTGGTTCTGGAATAGGGAGTCACTTGGCCTTGGCTGGGCATGTGCTCGGGGCCTGCAGTTCCCTCCCCACCTGCCCTTCATTGGTTAGATTGCGGACCCACCAGGACCTTGGGGCGTCCCGATTGTCCACAGGTGAGCAGGTGGCCGTGAGGCTACTCACTGGGCTTCCTTTCCTGTCTTCCTTGCCCTTAGACAAGACCATCATCATGTGGAAGCTGACCAGGGATGAGACCAACTACGGCATCCCCCAGCGTGCTCTTCGGGGTCACTCCCATTTCGTGAGTGACGTGGTCATCTCCTCAGATGGCCAGTTTGCCCTCTCTGGCTCCTGGGACGGAACCCTTCGCCTCTGGGATCTCACAACGCAAGTAGCTGCTCGCTTCGCTCTGGGGGGAGGTGGGTTCCCTGGGGGAACTGTGAGTCCAGAGAGCACCTAGAGAGGGCAGTGGGGTGCTTGCTCTCTCCTTGTTGCTTTGCGATGTTGCACAGAAGTGCTGAGGAGTGGTCTGGTTGAGCAGTCTTGCCAGATAATTGCCATTGAGGCGGCAAGAGTTTGAACAGGTCCTGTCCTGCCTTGGGAACATAATGGAGGGTCCCGGTGATGACAGACGACATGTCAGCCAACCCCGTGTGGGAATGAGGACATGTCCTGCAATTCTGAAGGGAATCCTCTGGCGCATTCTTAGCCGAGGGCCAGTCGTGGGCAGACCCATGTCCGGGGTTCTATGAGGAAATGCAGCTCCGCTGGGGCAGGAACAAGGCCAAGCAAACTGTCTCCCTGGAAGAAGGCTCGCAGAGTCTGTCTGGCAGTGACCAAGTCCTTCCTCTCAGGGGCACCACCACGCGCCGGTTCGTGGGCCATACCAAGGACGTGCTGAGTGTGGCCTTCTCCTCTGACAACCGGCAGATTGTCTCTGGCTCCCGAGATAAAACCATCAAGTTATGGAATACTCTGGGTGTATGCAAGTACACCGTCCAGGTAAAGTGACGACACCCGTTAAGGTGCTCTCCCACCCTCTGAACCTGGGCCTTATGTGGGGATCTCAGGCTTCATCTGCCAAAGGTTTCATTGATCTCAAAGGTTTGGGCTTGGAAGTGTGAAAACAGATTGTCATCATAACTAAGGGGTGGGGTCAAGAGTTTGAAGGACAGGATGGTTTTCTCTAATTTCCTTTTCATCTGTAGGATGAGAGCCACTCAGAGTGGGTGTCTTGTGTGCGCTTCTCACCCAACAGCAGCAATCCCATCATCGTGTCCTGTGGCTGGGACAAGCTGGTCAAGGTGAGCTTGGAGCCAGGGTGTAGGGTCTTTGCCAGCTGGAGTGTGTTCCCACTCTCTCCCAGATGGTCATGCACTCCAACTTGTCCCTCGTTTACTTTTTTCTTGCTAGTTGGTGTAAAGGAGCCAATTGGTGGGCCTAAGTCCCTTATGAGGCAACAGAGCATTTGTTACCTGTTTTAATCCTAATTGTCCACAAGTGGCCAAGACCTTTTTTTGGTTACTGATCAAATGAAAAATGACCACCAGATCCAGGAACGCTTTGAAACGAGCTTTAAAGGCCCTTTCTGTTTGGCTAGAGCTCTTCTGACTCTTGACAGCTCCAGAGCCAAGTTCTTCATCTCTGACCACCACCACCCCGAATTTAGGTATGGAACCTGGCAAACTGCAAGCTGAAGACCAATCACATTGGCCACACGGGGTATCTGAACACTGTGACTGTCTCTCCAGATGGGTCCCTCTGTGCTTCTGGAGGCAAGGTACTTGGGCCAGGAGTCTCCTACGCAATGGGTACAGCGTCTTAGAAAGAGTGCTTGACAATAAGGGCAATCTGAGAATAAATGTTTCCAAAGATTGTTTACTGACAATGAGATCTTTAAGTCATACTATACTGTTCAAAAGAAAACAATTGTCTTCTATACATCTGGTTTCTTTTGAAGCTATTGATGACATTAGGATCTCATTTAACAAAGTGTTTGATTTAGATGACAGACTCTTGGTAGGCTTGGTGAGTGAGGTGGTGCATTAAAGGAAAGGTATAGAGGTAAATATTGGCTACTTCAATCATTCGTTTTGGGGAAGTTTAGGGTACAGGGGTGGGGTAGATAAGACAACCTTGAGACAGCTGGGGTTAACATCTGGAAGAGGTCACATTGCCCTGACTCAACTTTGCTCTCTCCCAGGATGGCCAGGCCATGCTGTGGGACCTCAACGAAGGCAAGCATCTTTATACACTTGATGGTGGGGACATCATCAACGCCCTGTGCTTCAGCCCCAATCGTTATTGGCTCTGTGCTGCCACTGGGCCCAGCATCAAGATCTGGGTGAGTATGGGCTGCAGTTGAGGACAGGTACCTAGCTGTACCCTAAGCCATGGCAACATTGTGATTTCCTGAACAACTGCTGTCAGGGTGTCAGTGGAGGCCCAGAAAAAGCTAGTTAAAACTTGCTGGGTTTGGGGTTTGCAGTGATTCAGTCTTTGCCTACTTAAAGGAATGGCCAAATAGAGCAGCTTATTCAACCGCAGCACAGTTGGCACTTGCGTCTGAATGTTTGCCGGGGGGGTGGGGTAGTCCTGTGTATTTTAGGATGTTTAGCAGCAAACCTGGTCTTGACTTACCAGTAAGTGCCTATAGCAAACTCCCTTAGTGACAACCAGAAACGTCTCTAGGCATTGCCAGGTGGGAGTGGCAAAAAATACTCTCTGTTGAGATAGTAATCTCAACAGTTATAAAGGGACTTTTGAGAGGGGACTTCTGTTTTCAGGTTTTTTTTGGTGTTTTTTAGTATCAGTGGCATTAAAGTGCAGGGTTGCCTTAACTCCGTTTTGTTCCTTCCCCAGGACTTGGAGGGTAAAATCATTGTAGATGAATTGAAGCAAGAAGTTATCAGTACCAGCAGCAAGGCAGAGCCACCCCAGTGTACCTCTCTGGCCTGGTCTGCTGATGGCCAGGTAAGTGGGTGTACCATTTGGAGGTAAGATTGTGGTCTAGAGCAGCAGTCACCAACCGGTGGTCTGTGAGGTCCGAAAGGTTGGCGATCACTGGTTTAAGGAAACCTTTGGAGCAGCGGTTACAAGCCGGTGGTCCGTGAGGTCCAAAAGGTTGGCGACCAGTGGTCTAGTCTTGAGGGTAGTGATTACCTGCTTTCAGTTCAGTTTAATTTGACCAATTTACAGGCATATTAGTCCTTACTTACCAGCTGTTGCTTCCTCTAGGAATAGGAATAATCACCCATAATCATGTAGTTAGAAGAGTGGGGATCTTAAGGGCCGTCTTTCTTCATTAATGGTTCTAGAGTTTCATGACCCTGACATATCACTCAATTCTCCTTTGCAGACTCTCTTTGCTGGCTACACAGACAACCTGGTGCGAGTGTGGCAGGTGACCATCGGCACCCGCTAGAAATACATGGCAGAGCTTTAGTAATAAAATGGTTTTCTGGCTTGTAGAAAGTGTCTTTCTCTGATTAGGAAAAACTGCTTCCCATTTTTATACTGGCAGGCTGGAAGCACAGGCCAAGTAAACAAGGCTTTGGGGAAGAGGGAGAAGTCAGACTGTGTTAGGTACCCTCTTTCATAATGTCCTATTTCAGATAGATCCTCGATGCTTTTTAATGTTTTTATTGATTTGAGACTGAGAGAGAAAACCCATCTGCCTTCCACATGCCCCTACTAGGGATTGAATCTGCAACCTCTGGGTGCATGAGATAAGGCTCAACCAACTGAGCCGCTACACCAGCCAGGACCAGGTCCAACTCTCTAACACACACACAAAAAGAATATAGCAGAGGTGCATTTTGTTACTCTTCCAAAGGGAAGATTAGAAAACTTTCTGAAACTGGTTAAGGCTAATGTAGTCTACATCATATTAGGTCTTTTGTTAAGATGGAGACTTTCTTTTTTAATTATTAAAGGCAAGTCAACTCAACCAAAAGAACTATCTAAATCCTTTTCACTCCTTCCATAACTGGAGATTTAATATATACAGTGGTCT